ACCACACATCCTCTCAACAAATGTCTTTGTGTGGAGGATGCAGTCAGGGAATTGCAGCCCAGTGTGTCACTTTTCCTCTCGCCTCCTGTTTAGGATGAAAAGATGATCAGGCCTGTAAAATGCGATCCACTGCATGACGACTTGTAAAGCGGTAAAATGCAGACACTGAAAGTCATTTGCGCCTCTTTTCATGCCGTTGCACAGTAAAATCCTGCCCACAAACATAAAATGTTTCAGGTTGGGATCTGAAAGATCTCAAAACCATCTGCAGGAAAGCTGGCTCCCTCAGCAGCCACAGCACATGGAAGTGCTGGGGAGTGCAGGCAGCGCAGCTGAGCATCCTTATGGCAGGTGTTGAATTGCACAGGTCTTTCAAATGCATGCAGCAAGCCATGCATTAAAACGCACCTGATAAACTTCCAAAAGCATCACAGCCTCCAGCCCAGAAGTTCCCACTGTGCTTCACTGACAAGAGTTCTGATAGCGCTGCAAATGCATCAGCCGCTCCTCTGAAGTCAGAGGGAGACTTGTCCCTCAGAAACAGCACCCAGACTGTCACACAAAGAGCACCAGTGCTTTACTCAAGCAGGGCCAGTGCCCCTCACCATGCCACTGTGGGGCACACAGCCCCCCGGGAAGCACAAAGCTGTGTGGAGGCTCGTGGCACCCTACAGCTCATGGCACCCTACAGCTCCAAACGTGGAGCAGAGGGCAGCGCTGAGCTCTGCTCTCTGTGGCAGCCCAACAGGGCTGGAGAGAACAGCATGGAGCTGTGTCATTGGAGGGCAGGTGGGAATAAGGGAAAGGTTCTGCACCAGAGGGCAGTGGGCATGGAACGGGCTGCACAGGGCAGCAGGCACAGCTCTGAGCTGCTGGAGATGAATGAGCATTTAGGTAATGCTCTCAGATGCAGATTTTGGGTTTGGGGAGGTTCTGTGTGGAGCTGAGTCTTTTGGGTCCCTTCCAACTCAGGATATGCTGTGATCCCACATGCTGACATGAGGGCATCTGTCCAAGGGAAAGACAGTTGTGAGGTTCCTGAAGTAGGTCTCATCCATACCAACAAATATCAGCAAAGCTCATTTCAGGTCACCAGCTAAAGTCTATTCACGTACACTAGGAAAAAGCAGAATGTGGGATGAGCAGCAATTGCCACATGGGCAGTTTGCAGCACCTTGTCCATGCATCCCCTTGTCCCTACACAGGGTACAGACTTTAGGACTGTGGGCAGAGCATGATCCTCAATGCTGAGACTTTTCTGCCTCTATATTTGGGGTTGCAGTGCTTATTTCTATTTTATCAGTCAATAGGACTCCTGTCTACTGGATCCAGCCATAAAAGGTAAGGAATCCCCCACAGGCACGGGTAGCACCACTAAATACTGGTCCCCATAGTGGTAAATTGGGTTTAAAAGTTCGGAGCAGAACAGAGAGAGAAGAGCCTCTTTCCTGAACCAAGGAAGAATATAAAGCCCCACTTTCTCCCCTATGTGACTTTTGTCATTATCATCTTTTCTGATTCTTACAAAGCAAACCTAATTAGGAAGCTCTCTCATTAGTCTTCCAGAAAAATTAGCACAGCTTATGCTAATTACTTCTGTAAAATTTAATAAACTCGTTGAAATGGGAATAGTCTAATGAGGTTTTATTTATTGAACTAAGATAACTGTAAGGAAAAAGGTTAGGACACCGGGATATCCGGAGTGGTAATAAAACTACAATTTATTCAATTTCTTCACAGAAATTTTATTGCAAACCTTTTAAATTCAAATACAAGTTACTATTTGAATGCTAAATCAATCTAGAATTTAATTTAATAACAGGAAGTGCTCTGTGTTTTCTTTAAGTATGATTACAAGACAGCCCTGCTACTGTACTTGTAGAAGGAATTGTGCATTTGTACTGTGACAATAATATCCCTTTTAAAATGAGTTCCTGTTCATCAGAGCTTCATCTGAACACATGTAACCGGATTAGTGATAAAATATACAGGCTATGCTAAGATGATTCAGAAACACACAGGTTTCCAAGAAACTTCCTTGAAATGACTGCTCTACAAGCAGAAGAGATTTTGTTCTCCAGAGAAAACTGAGATCCCTCTACAAGTATGAATTTCTTTAGGTCCCTTTCACTGCTATATCCGCTGATACTATAATAGGGCAAACTATAAAGCAGTTTTACAAAGGATAAAGTCATATCCTGTTTCAAATGCAACAACGGATTATTATTTTTTAAATCCTGCATTTTGATCAAATAAAAATGTGTGATTTACTTTTCATATACATCTAGGATTTGAAAAAGAACACAACACATGTAACTTTGAAGTTGACAAAGAGCCTCTTTGCCAAGTTAGCTAAACCACCACAAAGACTGAGCCCTCTCTATCCCGAGTTTCTCCAGCCTCATCAAAGAGAATTAATCAATCCGAAACAGTATTCCAGCATGGAAGAAGAGGATAGCATTTCCATTTAAGTACATATGTCAAAAATCCCATAGATGGATTCTACGTTAAATTCTATGTTAGGTCAGAGTCTGTGGATTGGTAGGATTTGATGCGAGAGTTAGATTAAATCCATAGGCGAGGCTTTATCAGACTGTAAGGCATGTGGGAGTGCTTTAGCCCAAATGGCAAATGAGTTCTGTAAGCTCACAGGCAAATAAAAATAGCTAAATATGGCTTAGCGTATCAATTGACATAATAGTTTAAAATTGTGTGCATGCAGAAGTGACAATGGAGTACAACTAAACACATGTGCTGATTCGTGCAGGCGCTTCAGCGCTTAACGGGCTCGTTCTAAGGTAAAAAGGCCCCACATTGCTCGTTTCATCCTTTCCAAACCAAAAGGGGGAAAAAATGAATAGGATAAATGTCACAAGAAGCATCGCTAAAGCCACTAACTGTATAAAGCACGTACTTATTTGGCCTAAATTGTTTGAACTAGCCCCGGCCAAGAAAAGGTTTTAAGTACCCTACTGGGACAGATGCAAAGCGGCGACAATAGAAGCCACACTAATGCAATCCAGGTAACACAATCCTGTTTCAAAAACACAGGGAGGGCTAATTACAGTACTGCTGAGTCAAATTTCTTATACCATTGCAACCCACAGGAACAGGTCAAAATCAAATGTTATTCAAACCACAGTCATATCAACCTTCTGTATCAAAGTCACAATTTAAAACCAAGTGAAGAACTTAAAAGCTTAACCCATTCACCAGCCAAATGTGTTGGAGTACGGGGGGGGGAGGAAGGCAAGGTTTGGATGATGAGCTTTGAATTGTATTCAACTTGTGTTTTAAATATAGTCTTCAGAATTGGTATCTTTTGCATAAATGTATGTAAATAGTGATAAATTGATCACCGTTACAAAGTTAAATCTGTGTTTTCATGTAACAGTTTCCCTCATTTTCTAAGAAGCACGTAGCAGACAGCATCTCTGGCTTTCATAATTTAAAGTGATTTGCAACTAGCAGTTTTGCATACTAGATAGTTAAACAAAATATTTCCGTAAACCTGCCATTAGCATCTTAACATCTCACTTTCCAGTACAATGAAAAATTCATGTGAATTTTGTAGCTTTCATGTCACTCGAAATGCCGCCCTAACACCATGTTTATAGTGTTCAACTCGGCAGCATGCTTATAAAAAACATCTCTATACAGATTTCACTGGTTTTTTTTTTCCCCCCTTTCCCAGTCCTACTTAATGCTCACAGAAGATGGAAATACGCCTAGTTAAAATAGGTAGATATATCTTCTGAGGCTTAAACATTCTCAGGATTACTGATTACAGCTAATCAAAACACCCGCCATAAGCTTCCAATATATGCACTTTCTTAACAAATTCAAGCAAGAACTATAAATCTGACAGCCTGCAGAAGCACAGTGCCTGGCCAGGCTCTGCTATCCCCATCCCTCCCGCATGGCGCTCCGCACACAAAACGCCTTCACCTTTTCTTTTATAACAAACACCCAGACTGGCACAGAAGGTACTTTGAAGCTAATACAGCAAACATGAGCTCAGACAATAATGCTAGGAGAAGCACACCGCTCTACACTCGCTCCCATATGCACAGACAGCTTCCCTTCAGGGTCCCTGCACGCACAGATTAGTGCAGTGGTATTGCTTTCCCCAGCTGATGACAGACAGATTCAGTACTTCATGGCCATTTAACTCTCATAGAGTAATGCTGCATAATAACCTGGCTATTACACGTGGCTTTGTACAATGAATTTGGACGATTAAAATGTAAAAATGACTATTTGGTACCATTTTGCCTAATTTGCAAGCACAGAAACTATCCATGGCTCAGAGCAACTAAAATAGATGCATTGTACAACAGTGATTTAGTTGGTGATGTCAGATTAGCAATATGGATCTGTTTAAAAGCACAATAATTAAGACAGGCAAAAATGAATTAATCAACTGACAATACAGTCAAAATAGTATTCCAACCAAAGAAAATAACAGGGGAAAAAACCCTTAGTTTGCAGATCTATTTTTTTTAACTGTTTTTATGCATAAATAAAAACCTTAAAATGTAGATGGATTGCATCCAACAGAACTACTGTAGCTAAAAGTGATAATGATTCAAACATTTTTCAAATAAAAGTTAAATATTTATAAGCACCCAACCACATTTCATAAATCACAAACTATTATTATTTTATTCCTGAAGCTTCCCTGGCACAGCATGTGAATTGAGCCACAGAAAGTCAGAAAGAAAAATCTCCTCTTTATGCACATGAATCAGTCTGCAAGCACGGGAGCCCTGCAACGAGCAGGTCGCTCCGTTAGCCTCCATATGGCCCTGCCACGGCGATCGCAGTTGCAAAGCACAACTAATTTGGTATCAAAAACAAAATTTCATCCGCATCTACTCCTAATTCTTCCCCATTAGCAAGACAGGGCAGGTGTTTCATTATAATGAGGAGGGGGGAAAAAAAAAAAAAAAGAAAAAAAAAAAAGAAAGAAAATCGAAGGAAACAATAGCAGTCCTTACCTGTCAATTATCACTGGATCTGATGGAGTCTCATTTCTGTTGCCACAGCTTTTCTTGTCACAACAGCGGCTGCAGAGCAAAAGTGAAAGGATTTAGTGCGACCATTACACTGTAAAATCATCATTACGAACACGGCGGGTTCAAATTGCCGGCTAGAGTTACCGCGCCGTCCCTGCCTGCAAATCAGTCAAATACAGTGGGTCACATATGGGTTAATTACTATGTTTAACTTCTTGCACAGCTGGTTAGCAATGGAAAATATAAAAAGAGAAGGGTTTTGCCCCCTTCGCAAATAATAATTCAAAGATCATCCGAAACAGAGAGACCTGCCTATTTCTGGTCTCTTTTCCAAAGGATTTAGTAGTTGTCCCATTTATGTGTGCACACAGAACAAGGCAGTTTTTTCTTCCCTGAACACAGCTTTTAACGTTTGCTTGGTGCTTCCATTACATGGCCACACAGTACTCCTGCTTTTACAGAGCTGAAGCCTCCCCCCAACATCCAGAAGTACAATGATTCTCCTTCTAAGAAATATAATTGTTAAGAGTGGAGCTAAAATGCAAACACCATTGGCTTTTTATAGGGGAGCATGCCTGTTTCCCATTTTTCTGAGCACACTGATGACTGCTTGGAGCACCATAGGTCGGGTACAAAGCTGGAGCATGTAGCAGCAGCTCCATCTGCCAAAGCCCTGCTCCATCACTGGCGGCAGGCTCGGGTTTTAAGCTAAGGGAGCCTGTTGTTTGCACTGAGATGTTGAGTTGTTTTTTGGGATGAGCCCTTGTCAGAAAGGGGTATGGCAATTGGAGCTTGGTTCATGCAGGAACCCACTGGGTGAAGCCCAGGAAACTCCCACGGGGCCGCAGAGAGCAGAGACCCACAGCATGGGGACCCCCATGGGGATGGCACCAATTAACAGGGCATGGGGCCACTCCCCTGGCTCTCCCTGGCCAGATCCAGGCACACCTTGCTGTTACCAAACTTCTTGGTGAACCTCAGCCACTGCTTTGCAGAGCACACCGTGCTCACTCCAAGCAGTATCCAGGGACCTGACTGCTCACCCTCCCGTGCCAATGGACTATTTTCCTTTCCCTGGAAGGTGGAAGAACATGGGAGCAGTAAGAAGCCCTCAGAAGTGCCATGCTATATAAATAGCCCTGTTGGGAGCATGACAAAGGTTCTCTTGTGCTGCTGAACAATAGAGTGAATAATATACAGTTACCCACCAAGATTAGCAATAAAGCAACTAACCACACTAAAGATAACAAAAAAAAAAAAGGGGGGGGGGGGGGCCTTTTACAAAAACAGCCTGTTTAAACATGGTCTTAAAAAAAAATAATAAATTTTTGTTTTCAAAGAGAGGAAAATACATAATTCTTTTCACCACAGAAAGCTTCAAGGCAACTATTCAGGACCGAAACTTCTCTCAGTTAACACATGTGCGGTATCTTCATTTCGGTGGAAGTTACATTGTTTAGGACTGCCAAAAAAAACTGCTTAATTTTACAGCACAATACCACAATTGATCCACGAAAATAAATGCAAGAGCCTTGGCACCCAGAAAGCATTAAAATTTAGGAAGGAATAAAATATGCTGTAGGTAAATAGTCATGTGGACGTTCGGGGGGCTTTTTTGCCTATAAAAGGACTTGTCATTGGAGTGCAGCGAGAATGTGTGGGGTGAGAAAATTTACCCACAAACAAGGCAATAAAAACTGCTAATCATTTTTAAATGATTAAAATGTAATTAGAAACAGAGTTGGCACAAGTTAAGACAATACAGTTCTTGTGACTGAAGTGAATCAGGGCTAGTCCTGACATTCTCCCAGCAGACTGCAGGGACAGAAATTGCCACACTCACTCAGGCAAGCAAAGGTTCCCAGGCTCCCCGTTGCACTGGGCGGCCCCCAGCATCCCCAGCACCTTCCTGCTTCAGGAATACTCCAGCCCCAAGCAGGAGAGGTGCATGCCAGCTGCCAGGGACGGTCCAGTATGGATAGCATGGCCATGGGGCTGCGCATGGGGTGGCCCTCTTGCATGGCTCAGGTGTCCCGAGATGATGCCCCCATAGACCTGAGCCATAGCAAGAAATCAAACTTTCGTTTGCCTTTTTCTTTGTATTTTTTTTTATTCTTCATTTTTTTTCTCCCTCACAAGCAGAATTTGAGGCCTCATCCACTCTCATTTTTCTGTGCAAACAATCATGGCATCATACCAACCCTGAGTTTTAGATCGCTCCTCATGGTAAAAGAAGCATTCAACTTGCTTCGAAAGCTTTGACTTTTAGCATCTACTGAACACATGGAAAAAAAAAAAAAAAAAGAAAAGAAAAAAAAAGTGCCTAAACATTCAGCGCCTTTCCCTGAAGGAATTCAAGAAGTCCCAGGAGTTTCTCTGAGTCACTGAGAAGCTCTCAGCTCCCTGCGTGCTTGGGAGGTGCAGGGATCGATGCCAAGTGCCAGCTCCTGGCTGGCCCTGTGGGGTGTCCCCCCCAGGCAGGACAGGGAGCCAGAGCTCAGGCACAGCGTCTTTAGGGATCAGATTATGTCTGATCGAAAGCAGTTTGAGAGAGGGAAAAATAAAAACAAGGGGAAAAAAATCTGCAAAAAATGATTTGGCTCGGGGATCGCTTGGTTTGTTTTTAAAGCAAATAGCCCTCAATAGCAATGCAGGCCCTTGCCATGCTGCACCATCATGGCTTTTCCCCATTCCTGCCTCCACCTTCCTCACACCATCCCCACTGTGCCTCTCTGCAGACCTCCATCCCCTGGCCACCACTGCTCCCTGCTTTTGTCACTGCCTTTGTCTTCACCCTTCTCCCCACTGGAGCATCTCTGTCCCCACCATGGGCACATCCATGGCCTCACCCCTCCTTCTGCACCCCAAAAACCCTCCCTCTCCCTAACCCAGCGCAGCAGCCAGGAGCATCACAGACCAGAGGAGCCCTGCTTTGTGTATCCACGCACTCAGGCTTTCTGCAGGGACAATGAACAATGAGAAATTACGGGGTGATGGCACAAGGCCAGCACAAACTCGACTTTCTGATCACTTACTGCCAGGCTGTAACAAGTCGTTAGTGAGCCCGCATGGGACAGACTGCAGCAGCTCCTGGTGAGGTGGGCTGCAGCTCCCACACCAGCCAGGCATAAAGGTGCGAGGGCTCCTCGACAAAACAGCTGTAAGACTTTATGTCGCAAAGACAAAAACCATATTTTACTCCAACCTCATTCTCAGAAATCGCTGAACCATTTGAGCTGAAACTTTCCAAAGAAAGTCAGCCTCGGGCTGACACCCTGCAAAGGACATTTCAGCCAGAACAGTTTAAGTCTGGCAAAGCTGTAAGCCACTGAAGGTTTCATAATGGAAATTGTTGAGGCAATATTAACTATAGATGTCCCTCCCCACGCTGCCTACAATGCCAATAAATTCCACCGAGGCTGTGAATTCTCCCCAGCTATTAACATTTTCGCCAACAGCATGGATTTTATATTTGACAAAACACAATGAACCTCTTCGAAATAAACAAACAGCCACCTGAAGCCAACCTCAGAGCTGCATCCCTACCACAGCCAGGACTCTCCCGTACATTTGAATTCTTTGTCTTCTCCTCGCTGTAGTTGGAGCATCCTATAAATACCCAGCTTTGTCACATAAATGCAAAGTTTTATTGTGCAGTTAGCCTTGATAGAAAGCACTGCTGAAAGTTGTTTAGAAATTAAACATCTAAAACAAGCTATTTTAAAATACAGAGCCCTCACTATTTCATGTCTGAAATGAAGAAATTTCATCTTAGGGAGAGCAAGCTGTCTTTCACACCATATGGCTAATGGTAGTGCATAGCAATTAGCTGGACTGATTAATGGGGAACAGACTCTAATTTTATGCTTATAATTGAGGCTGCATTTGCACCCCTGGTGCAAATTCAGCACATCCCAACTTCCACTTACAACAGGCAAGAAATCAAGAGAAACAAAATGGTGTGGAGAGAGATTTTTTTCCCCCCTTTCTAGACCCCTAAAGAGCATCAGATTTGCAATTTAAAAGAGTGTTAGCAGCACAATAGATGACAGATTTGTGCAATAGGGTCAAGCGGCCTGGTAAACAAACAGCACCCTCTTACAAACCTATAGGCAGAAGAGGAAGTGGGAAATATCTAATATGAGCTGTAAGATATTTGAATGCATCTCCCCCACCCCAGCAGTTACACCATGCCTACACCACAGTCAGAATTTTTTGTTGCCCCTACACCTTATGTTTAGGAACACAAAGCCAGGGCTGGTAGCAGACAAATCTGAGATGAACAGAGCTCCTGATCGAGCAAATTTTAAGAACAAAAAAAAAACAAAGTGCTTCAATAAATGGAAAAGCTGCTTCAAATGACATAGCACAGCTTTACACATCCCCAGAATGGGAATAATTTTACCTCAGTTAAACAATATTGACAAAGCTGTACATCTTTAACACAGATCTGGTTAAAACTCAGCCCTCTATCTGAAGTTTTCAATGTACTTATTAATCTTCACGTTTCTAAAGTATTTATAAGAAAATTAATGGATTAGAGAGGGAATTTTTAGGGTTGCACAAGGGCTCTGTGAATGTCCCAGAGCTGGCTGAGGACATTGCATGGCATGGGTCTGGAACAAAGGCTGGCTGCAGAGAGTGATGCTTCAGGCTGAGAGCGTGTGCTCAGCCCCTTGTGAGGTCTGGATGCTCACCTAGATACCCAGATTATTTTCACCTCCAAACCTTGCAGCCTAGGAACCAACAGGGCACACTACGTGAGGCTACCAGCACATTTAGGCTCCGACACTGCCAGCACTTCAGCATGTGCTTAATTTTACTCTCTGTTCCACTGGGCTGCTTCCACAAGAAAAGCAAAGCATGCACTTCAGTCTTATTGGGTCAGGGGCCTCCTTTAATATTTCCACGAATTGTTCCTAGCTAGGTATCTAGTGCAAAAGTGGTGCTAATTGGGCCAATGAGTTTTAGTGCAATTACAGGTTGCCAGTGTGGCTGGGCTTCCACTGAGAAAGGTAGGACTGGTCAGGAGTCCTCAGCAAAGCCATGCCACAGCTCCCAGCAAGCAGCAGCTTGGGACCTCTCAAACAGCTGAGGCTGGAATGGGTTATCTCTGGTTTCCCAAAGCAAAACCTGCTGAACAAGGTAGCCTTGAAAAATAGGATATGGCAACTAAAGTCCCCCAAATCCTGCAGGTTGTGTGGGGTTCCACCCCACGAGCAATGCAAGGAGAGTGGCATCGCTCAAGCTGGGTTTTATCAGACAGAAGCTGTTAGGAAGCACAAAACACACAGATTCCAAAGAATAAAGGGAAAAAACATCAACCAGCAGAGAAGTTTCCATCTGAATACTTTGTCTAAGACTCTCCCCCACCAGGAAACCCTCATCCAAGTTTATTCTCTTAGAAGTGGGTACCAGCTTTTCCCCTCAAGTTACTCCTTTTTAGTAAATGTGTTTTGTAAAAGTTACAATGCATGCAATGGCATTTTTACAGTCTTAAAACAACTGATTGTAACAATGAGCTTATGCAAGAATGCCTCGTCTTCCACCAGGGAATTATTTTCTGCCATCGAATAACATGTAACAAATGAGTTTTTCAGACATGCAAAAACACCCACTAACTTTAATGAGACTGCAAGGTCAAGCTCTCCTGGGTGCCTGAGGGCTATGGGAGAAGATGCTGTGAGGGAGCAGAGCAGACTTCACCTAACGCTGCCAGCAGAAGGGGGAAGGAAGTAACTGAAGAAGAATTCATCTCTCTGTCCCAGATTTAAGTGCCAGCCCCAGGCAGGCACCTCTGGGGGAGCAGAGCATGGGGAGGGCCAGATCTGTGTGGTTGGAGAACACCAACAAACAGCAGCCAGTGGGGCGGCGAAGCATGACCTGCTAGGCCCAGCAGGCGGGAGAAGACCTGGCCGCCTGTTAGGCCAGAAACTAACACCAGAACAACCGTTTTGTCATGCTGCTGGGAGAGCAACCTTCGTCATTTGCTTGGGAATTGGGGGCAGAGAAAACTACAATTCTATAATTAACTATTAATTTTGGTGAGCCCACTTTTGTAGGCTACGGGGTCTAAATGCAACCCAGTAGCGCAGTTAAGGAAAATTCTTTATCAATTGAAAACTGCTGCGGCGACAGAGACCTTGCTGCTAATTACACACACCAGACTGTGTTATTTTGGGATTGTTTAATGCAAGAAAGATAAATTTAAGTCCTAAAATAGCCACAGGTTCAACCTAGATTTTGAGAGACAGATTCATCTTCTCATCACTAATTAGGGGGAAGCAGGGTATCTCTTACCTGCACATTATTTCATGCGTGAGCAGAACTCGGCACATTTCGGGGTTCTTGTCTTGGCCTTCATATACTATCGCCTAGAAAGAAAACACATTTTTAGCCATGCGTCACGTTGAATTGGGAGAAAAGAAAAAACAGCATTGTGGCCGCTGAGTGCACAGGGCCAACAGCGGCCGAACCTGCCCGAGGTCTGTGTTTGGGAACAACTGAGCTGGGAACTGCTAAATTCCCTCCTCTCTGCTGCACATCCCTCAAGCTGTGTGTAGGATGGGTTTTTTTAGTAGTCAAGACAACCACAATTTTCTTTTCAATTCAGAATAAAATATAAACCTAATAGCATTAAAAGAAAGGAAGGGAAAAAAAAAAAAAAAAGAAACAACAGCAAGGCTTGGCATACTTTGGGCTCTATTCATTAAAAAAAAAAAAAGAAAGAAAGAAAGAAAGAAAGAGAGAGAGAGAGAGAAAGAGAGACAGAGCAAGAGCTCATGCATTTTTAATTCCGAAAGCTGCACACTGCGCAACCCGGGCATTTTGCTGGTAGCTCCTGGAAGCACTCGGGCCTGATCCTGTGCCTTGCGATGCCGAGCAGCTCCAGAGTTACAAGGATATAAATAAGCGAGAGGCAGGCCCTGTGAGAGGGCACCAAAACAAATAGGGATGGATAACCAGCCTGAGAAACTGACTCTGAAACAGCACAGGGAGAATCCTTCAAGTTAATGCTGTGGAAGGACAGCGTATGCACCCAGCAAGAAGGGTTGATTTCTGCAGCCCTCCCAGCAGCAGGACACGGAGCAACGGTGAGGGATCAGCCTTACACACATCCCGGGTTACTGCTCACACCAGAGAGCTCCCATCAGATCGGGACAGAGTTTTTGCTTTCTGCCCACCCACACAGCCCTGGTTTCTCTCTGCTGGCTCACCCCAGAAAACGCGGACAGCTGGGCACCTACCCTGGGCTGTCCCCGGCAGCAAAAACAAGACAGAAAAGAAACTGTCTTTACAACGGCAAATTTTGAGAGCATAGAGGTTCCTAACTCTTTCCGGCTGCCAGCCTAGAGCTGGGATCTGTGGCAGAGCCTGGGGGGGGACGAGGCTGCGAGCAGCAGCAGCTCTGCCCCGCACTGCAGTGGGACCCCAACAGCCTCCCAGATACAGATGCAGGAGGAGGAAACTGGAAACAAACCCTGCAGATAAAATTACATCTGATATGGGTGTCTATAAAGCTAGCAGTAAATTAGTAACTAAAAAGATATTTTTCTAATTGTATTATGCGGAGGAAATACATTTTACAGAGTGGGATGATATTAACATGGAAGCGTGGAAAATACTAATGAGAAAAAATAAAGTATCTTGATATATGATGTAGTGGGACTGTGTGCTGCTTCTGCAGTCCTTGCAAATATAATCTGCTAAAGGTAAGAGGTGCTGCACCTACAGCGGAGGCATGGCTCTTGGGACATGCAAATCTGCAGCAGCATGAGCTGATTTTTAACATCGTTTTAATAGTAAGACACAATATGAATTTCATACATTATAAAATTATTTAGTAATTCCACAAATAACATCAGCAACATCCATGTTATATTCGCTAGTTATAACTGTTTCACTTCAGTTTAACTACAAATATTCCCCAAAACCGAGAGCTTCGCTGCCCCGTGTCCCAGCAGAAAGAGACACGCTGTGAACCCAGCGCTCCCACACGAAGGGGACACAGCAGTGGGTGTCGGGGACACGCCGAACCCTCGCAGCACCGCCACCAGTAAGAGCCAGGCTGGGTCACATCGGGAGCTGCTCTCCCATCCATACCCGAGAGCTACTGCTGGGATCTGCACCAACAGACGTCAGGATGTGCGACTATTTCAGAAATTCCTCATTTCTGTGCATTAAGTTGTAAGATGGGATGAAGCTTCTAGCCCAAACTGGGGAACCAAAGGACCACAGCTGATGGGGTCACAGCAGGGACATCAGAAAGACTCCAGAAAACCCTGCATCCAAATCCACTCAACCAAGACAGGGGAAGCTCAGCACCTTTGTTGGACCTAATCAACAAATAATCAAAGAATAATCTGCTCTGGATTCCCATTCACCGTGGCACAGCACAACATGGCGTCTAAGAGAGGGCTGCAGAATTTGACTCATGTTTCGTAGGCTTTCAAACCTTAAAACAAAATTACCCAGTCTATGTTGCCACTGAAGTGGAGGGAGCATTAGGAATGACCGAGCAGAACACAAATCCTACTTTCTTTTTCCCCCTCCTCTCTCCTTTCCTCTTCTCTTCCTGCTGCTATGCTTACTTAACCTCCAGGTACCCGCTTAAATAACTCAACTAAATAGCAATAATGAACGGGCAGAGTCAACACTGTGGTACATAATCACCTTGTCTGTTGTGTTTAACATCAGTGATCCCTTCTTTGCGTGCATGACATTCTTCTGCCTTCGTCTGCGTTAAGGATTTGCTTTTCACTTTGTTTGCATTTGACTACTAATATTGCACCCATGCACACTGTGGTTTCTCACCGTTAAGTGCGGGTCCTTCTGCATATTCTATTCCTCCAGGAATTTCTAGGAAATTTGAGGAAGCAAAAGGAACAGCCAAGCTCATTTCTCACCGCCAACTCCTATTCCTGTTTCCCAATTTATTTGCAAACGAGTGTGCAAAGCACCGACTGTCCACCTCCACGAACAGCCACCTGTGAGCATTATAGATCCTCTACCATCTTTCAGACAGCACTGATCTAAAACACCAATTTTACAATTAGTTGCAAAAAGGAAACAGGAACTGCTAAAGTTTCACATCTTTAGAGCGACCAGAAGTATATTTACAGGAAGGGTCTGCAATGTTACTGTTGTGAAAATATTTAAGATTGGAAAAGATACTCTTTTCACAAAACTATCCGAACGTTTCTAGTAATTAAAGTTGGGGCTTCGGCACACAGCGACAGCGTTAGGAGCCCACATCACCCAAACACCGCCACAACTTCGTCAAATAGGGATCACATTAATGAGAGATAAAGTGAAAGTTACAGCGGATAAACTTAGACCACAGCAGGGCTAAAAATAAGCCTGCAAATACACATCGGAGTTGCACAACAAAACATTAGCAAAGGAAATGAAAATTATAGACGTTGTTTTTCTTTTTTATTTACTCCTGTAGCTTTGACTTCAGTGCATCTCATCTTTCAAAACAGGTCTTCTCCCCCCGGAGATCTTAAATATTTCCCCACAAAACTCAGCTTACGTTTGTAAACCGTTTCTCAATGAAGTGCCCTTTCTGTCAGAAGTCCCAATGAGTAACGACTGCCCGTGCATAAACTCATCTCAAAATCAGGCCCTGAAAAACTGATGTCAAATTACGAAGCTCCCTTTCTTCTATGTACATAACGCCGCGTAAAAAGTTAAATCAAACACAATTCACCACTTGCCAGCACATACAAATGAGTGCGCTGAGCACATCCCGTTCATTCCTAGCCTACAAGTGCATCCAGCAATTCGGAAAACTTTTCAGTGAGAGTTCATTAAAAAAAAAAAAGAAAAGATAGAGCAAAAGGGAGGGGAACAATATAAAACCAAGGCTACCGTTCTGATTTAGGTCGCTTTTTCATGAGTAAAAGATGGCAGAATAAAGCAGTAAAAGAGTTGATGGAGAAGGTGGGAAAAGATCCATGCAGATTTTGTCCTCAGCTCTTCCTGACTAAATCCAGACTGACGCTGGTACAGCTGAGGGCTGAACAGCCGCGCAGCGCCAGGCAGGCAGTGGTGCTCTGAGCGGGGTGAGAAAGTCCTGAAGGACTGAGATCATGGCCATGAAACTCCTCGGTGGTGCTACAGCCCTGATTTTTAAAAACCAGAGAATGAGAGAAATCAGCAGCGTGTGCTGAAGCCACTCGCTTTCAAATCCCTCCTCTGTTTCTCAATGCAAACTCTATCTTTTATTGAAATAAAGGAGAAAGCTCATTAGAATGAGGCTCTTTTCAAAAAAAACAGAACCCAAACGATCCGCAGTGACGTATGCATACATACACACACAGAGAAAATAAAATCCTGGCCCCACCGAATTCAATAGGAATTCTGCAATTGACTTCAGATGGGGCAGCGCAGATTAGCTCCTATCCGCTATATGGCCACGCGGAAAGCGCTGTGAATTCAGCGCATTACATCTATTTGGCTCCCAGTGCTTAACCCCTAATTACCCGAGTGCTCCCTGCTCACCCAGGCAGGATTTCTGCTCACCCGCCACAGACAGCAGCGCAGCGCTGGGTCCCCAGGAGAGGACATTCAGCTCTCGCTGTGTCTCAGAGCACAATTCAGTGGCATCTCATTATTTTATCCCCCCGCCTTTGATACGCAGCCCGCTTATTGACGTATTCGCACAAATTAAATAAATTTATCTCTCCTAATATGTTCATTTTTAATGGTTTTCAAACATTCACATGGAAACAGCTCTAGCGTAAATATCCCAGAACAAATGGCTGTATATTATACAGGAGGGAGCAGTTGGGCTGCCAGACTGGGAATGCACCAGGCCATCTGGCTCAGGCAGTCTCTCCAAAATCCTCAGCTTTGTTTTCACCCTCAGACTCCAAACAACACATTTTCCACTGTGATGAGTTTACATTTTCCCAAACACAGGTCCTGATCATGCATGCAAATTCCAAACTTCTCCGCTCCTCGTCGTACAAGAAAATTAAAATCACCTGCACTTCTGACATCTCACCAAAGGAACAAGAAAGCTGCTAAAATCTGGCGCAGTGTAAACTTTCCCCATCACAGGGGTTAGGTTTTGTTTTATGTTTGTGTGAAATTTCTCCGAGTCTGCGGAGGCTCCTCCGAACTTATTGATAACATTTTTTTTCCCATGCACATCGCTGCCAGCAAAGGGCTGTGCCGTGTGCTGTGTGCAGAGCACAGCTCCTCAACCCCCTGCACACAGCAGAGAGCATCACAGGCATCAACACAGAACCCGCTCGCATCCAGAGTTACCGCCCTGAGAAAAGGCGAAGCGCAACCAGAGCTCAAGTCAGAATGGTTTTCCACCCAAAAACAGACAGCAGCTATCTTGCAAAACTTATGCTTTCTGAGATGCCTGAGCTGTAGTACCCTCCAATATATCTTATGAATGAGAACGGCTGAAGGAAAAATGCTTGGGTAAGAAGTATTCCAGATTTATTTCCTCCATCCTTCCTCATCGTGAAATATCTCAACTTTATGAAAACGCGGCTGACAAAGCCTCTCCTCTCTAAATACATTAAAATCCCCAGACTTGCCTAAAAACTCCAGCTTTATTTCAGCAGACATATTTCACATTTTGCAGGCAATTTCAGAACACAGCATCGTAGTGCCAGACCGACTGCACCGGGAGCCGCTGCCCTACGCAAAGCGACAGCTATAAAGTTTGGGATCTTACGGGGTTTTGAGCGCATTAGGAATGTGATCCTGACATAAAATGAGATGCCAAGATAACATGAAAGAAAATGTAATTAAGACAGCATTGACACTGAAAAGAACTTCCCCTCAACGTTAACGATTTGTGCGCAGCGTTTACAATTTTAACATGACGGGGATGCAGCGAGACCCCTCACCATCCCACTCTGCGCTCCTCCATGGCCACCACCAAAGGCCATTTACAGCACAGTGTTCAGCACGTTCTCAGCCCAGCCCGGCCTGAGCTTCCCGTTCCCAAGTCCCCCAAGGACCACCACAAGAGCTCGTGCTTGGAGGGAGCACACAGCTGAGATCTGCACCCTGTGTGTGCGCTGGGATGGAGTCGGTGACATATGTGCTTCCTTTGGCCGCACCACCAGCACCCAGCACTGCTCCCACAGCCCATCGCCGCCCACAGACACTGAACACAGAACACACAGACAGCCACTGTCAGCCCACAGCACAGCTCCTGGGCTGGGCCTTCAGCTGACCGTACAAACAGCAACAAAGCCTTACTAGTCCTGATCAAGAACTCCGTGGAAGCAGGAATACCTACAATTACAGCAAGCAGTGCAGTCCTGCCTGGCTTTGTGGTGTATGCTGCTAATGGGACATTTAGGTTAAATCTAGGAGTAGCAACCCGATGTAGAGAAATCAAGGTCTGATTTGCAAAACAGATTTTATTTTATCTTACTTAATAACCCACAGCTGCGTAAAACCTCACAATTCATAATCATGAGACAAAGGGAACAGATTTAAATCTGCTTTGGCCATATCTTAAAATATATATCTATTTAATATAAAGATCCATCCCCATACGACCTGGGGAACTGAACTCATTCAAGCTTTGCTTCTGTGGGATTTTTAATTTGCCACCAGAAACCTCAGAGTCGCTGCAATTTCGGTCTGGGAATTCACAATTATTGAGTGTGTGAATGTGTGCGTGTGAGCAGGGGAAGCTCCGTGCCAGCGGAAACGTGAATGCTCCTGCAACAGTTTCATTTAAAAGTAATCATTTCATTATCCAATTTGTTCTGAGCGTCACGCATTAAAATACTACACCTTCAAGTAGGCTGACAATATATATTTAACTTTCATTAAAAATTAAAGAATTTTCAGACAGTCTTTGCAATATTTAATTACAGTTTGATGATTTGAAAGTTACTTGAGAATGTTCTATATAATTCACTGTCGTAAAATATAAATGATACATTCAACATTTGGGTGAGCTCTGTCATGTGTTGTACTTCAATGCCTAATAAGCATTCAGCAACTGAAGCAATCACAACTCTGACATGATTTCACTTAGGAAGGAAGGAAAGAGAAAGAAAGAGAGAAAGAAAGAGAGAAAGAAAGAGAGAAAGAAAGAGAGAAAGAAAGAGAGAAAGAAAGAGAGAAAAAAATAAAAGAAAAAAAGAAATGGGGGGGATTTCAGACCCTGGCCCCTGAAAACATACAGATGAGCACTGCCACAGTTTTGACGTGCCAATGCCTTATTTCTCATAAGCAATTAAAGTCACACCTAGAGAACTTAATGAAACTAATACCCTAATAAGCAAACGTGGCTGTTTAAAACATCCCTTCTCTCTCTGCTTTCTTATCCAAGTTCGGAGCTTTTGTTCTCAAACCTTCACTTCCCAACTCCACTGCATTTTCCCCCAAAATCTGCCATTTCTCCTAACTTTGTTTCTGTACGGCTTCCTGAAATCAGAAAGATTTTTTTTTCCCATGTGAATGTGCTTTAAAGCTACATGGTATGTTTTACAAATAAACTGTATCTCAGGGTTTCTTTTCCCCTTTCTTTCCAAGACCCTCTGATGACTCGATAATAATGAGAGACCAAGAGGTCAAACAGCGCCTTAGGATGAACTCTTCATATGCAAGATGCCTTTGTTAAGAAAATTATTTTGAATCCATTGCTCTACATGAGTTCAGGGATCTGTTTTCAACAGGATTATGAACTGAGGCTTTCACATTTCCGTACCGATAGGAAAGCTATTTAAAGATAATATTTATTGATGGGCGCTCTCCTATGCTCTGCACTGAAACACGAAGTTCTGAAAGGACTAAAAAGAGTTCACCTATCTGAAAGATTTTGTTACTTATGACACAAACCAACCCATTTGTGCCTGAAAATCAAGGAACGGCAGCAAACACTTCCCAAGGTTTGTTATGAATAAGGGTATGTTGCTGTTGTTTTAATTCCTACAGGGCTCTGTTTGGAAGCGTATGGTTTAACAGAGTTCAGATGCACAGGGGATTGTCGAGTAGAATTCTTCTAAGTTCTCTTTTTTTTTTTTTTTTTTTCCTCTCTCTATTGAAAGGCAGTCTTCAATAGCAGGAAAAGATGTTTTGGGACCATCAAAGAGAGTTTTCTAAAACAAACTCAGCCCTTGGAGCTTTATGTTTTGCTGTAGAAAAAGAAACCCAGGCAGAAGCCAAGAGTTTTTTTTTTTTTTTTTCCCTAAAGACAACTGGGTTTGAGCATACAGGGACTGACTTTTCCTATCAGTGCAGGGGAATAAAAAAAAAAGAAAAAAAGAAAAAAAAAATCAACAAGAACCAGAATGGTTTTCTTAAATGAAATAAAATTTAAGAAATATTTTTTCAAGTAAAACAGATTTGGGGGAAAAAAGACATCTAAAGGAAAAAAAAAAAAAAAGGTTTAAAAACGTGCCCACTATTTAGAAGAAATGTTTTACAAGAGCAAAAGCTTCTGACAGGAGCAGAAGAGAAACTGGAGGAACAATTTCTAAAACAGAGAATCGATTTGTTCAGAGGATCCCTTCGCACAAACCCACTTTGCACCCAGAGAAATATTTTTTGCAGGTACACACGCACGTTTCTGCTCTGTTTGGAAAGCTAAAGAGCAAGCCCACAATTAGGGTTAATCCATTTACAAGCTCTGCTGCCCTACAGCCCTCCCCGGAGCCGAGCACGGCTCTCGCCGCTCCCCGCGCAGCATTTCGGGGGGCTTTTCCCATCCGCCATGCAAATTCGCCACGATTTACTCTCGCTCCTCCTCGAAACCAACGACCCGGCGGTCGCGCAAATAAAGAAAGGACAAATAGAAGCCTCAGCGCCTGCCCGGCGGCTGCGCTCGCAGCGTTTGGTGGGCTGGAGGGGGGGGGCGGGAGGTTAAATCCTACAATTAAGCGGCTCAATAGCCCCCGGGTCGGGCTGGTTGGAAGTCGCCAAGATTTTTCCGGAGCGCTCCGGGCCGCCTCCCGAGGGCTCCTCGCAGCCCCGACGCCGGGGTCGGACCTCGCAGCGCTGCCCTACGGCTCCCCCGGGTGCGGAGCGGGGAACGCGGTCGTTCCCTTCCCCCCCCCCGGCGGAGCCGCTCACGCTGCGAACCAGACCCGGGTTTCGCCCCCCCCGACGGCCGCTTCCCCCACCCCCCCAACACACACACACACACACACACACACACACACACACGCTCCCCTTTTCCGCGGCCGCTCCCCGCAGCACCCACCTGCTTGGTCATGGAGTCGATGAGGCGAACGTAGAAGTCCTGTTCCGTCCTGATCCCTGAAAAGAGGCAGAGCAGTGAGGAGCGGCGGGGCCGGCGGCCAAGTAGCGGGGTTCGCCCGAGGGCTCGGACCCGACGGGGCTCTCTCGGCCCGAGCTGCCCGCCCCAGTCGGGCTGTGCCCGGGCACCGAGCGCGGGGATGCGCGGAGCGGAGGGGATGGGAGCAGCGGCTCCTCGGGCCCCGAGGGGGTTTTCCAGCCGAGGAGCGGCCGGAGGGCGGCCGGTGGTGGTGGCGGTGGGGGGCGGTGGGGCTGACACCGGGGGCTCCCAGCCCTTACCATTGCTGTAGAGCAGCTGCAGGCGGTAGTGGATCCCGTTGTTGGTCTTTTCACTGTTAGCTTCCTGAATCCAAAGACGCGAGGAGGAGGGAAGGAAAGAAAAAAAAATACGTGTAAGGTATGAAGCTTCTCCATCACTCGGCCGGACGAGGTGGCTCGCAGCCCCCAGGCAAAGGGGAGAGACCAGAAGGGCCCCCCCATCCCTGGCAAAATGCCCGCAGACGGAGGGGGCTCCCGGGTAGAACCGGTGCCGCGGCTTCGGGGGGAACGGAGCGGGGAGGGCCCCAGAGAGGAGTTCGGGGCACCGCGCTGATACCCACCTTCTCCTTCTCCACGAAGCCCACGAAGGCGGTGCGCTCGATCTCCACGGGCTGCCCCTGCCGGTCATACAGAGCCAGGACGAAGTGGAAAAAGTTGGACTTCCTCAGGTTGGAAGGAGGCTGCTTCTCGAAGTGAGCCCGGGCCAGACCCACTCCGCTGGGACCACAAAGACGCGGGTTAGCGACAGCCCGGACGGCGCGGCCTCCCTAGGCTCTGTCCCTGTCCCACACCGGGGCCACACGGGACCCCTTTGGGCTCCCCAGGCATCGAGCATCCTCTCCCCGAACCGCCCCGCGGCTCTTCCTTTTTGGTGGGGGAAAAGGCGCTGCCTCTCCCCGCGGAGAGCCGGGATCCGACCCGACCCCACCGTGCCCCGAAGCACCCCGCAACCCCCCCAGGACCCCGAAGCGGCACCCACCGGCCCTCTCCAAGGGCAGCGCCCTCCCGCAGGCGGCCCTGCATGGCGGGCAGCGCTCAGCCCAGCCGGCGCGCTGCCCCGCGGAGCGCCATGCTCTGCCACTTCTCAAAGTCGGCTCGAAGCTGTCACCGGAGCGCCCCGCGTGCGCCTTATCTTTCAGTTTCAGTCCTGCGAGCCCCTTCCTCCCCTCGGAGGAGCGCCGGGTAAACACCGCGAGGGCAGCCCGGGAGACAACGGGAAATATTTCAGGGTTGTCCTTGCAGAACTTTCCCTTCCTTAGAGAGCTCCGAATGGAGGGGGGGGGAGGGCCGAGGGGGGATGAGAGGTGCGGGGAGAGGTGGGAGACAGCGGGAGATGTCAACACGGAACTCGTGAGCCGCTGCCGGCTGCAGGGCTCGGGATACGGAGCCGGCAGCTGATTTTTCTTTCCCCGGGGAAGAGGATGGGGAGAAGGAGGAAGGAGAGAGAAAGCGGAGCCGGGTGCAGCCCCATCACCTCCACCTCCCAGGTGCAGGGATTTCTTTTGGGGAAATCTAAGATAAGCGGCAGTGGTTTTACAGGGAGGCTTCGAATTAAATTTCTCCTCCGGAAAGCTCTGCACAGTCCCCGCTTATCGGGGCGGGAGGAGAGGAGCTGCTGATCCTGGCGGGGATAAGGAAGAGAAGTAAAGAAATATATTTTGGAGAATCCGTGCACAACTCGCAGCTTATCGGAGGAGGGAAGCGTCGATGGGAGATCTTAAGGCTAAAGCAGCACCAACATAGTTTTGAAAACTCCTTCCTCCACGCGAACACGAGCCTAAACCCAATCTATTCCCACCTAGTAGAGCTCGCCGCTTCCTTTATTGTTCCTACGATGATTTTTTAATCAAAACTCCTTCCTAAGGGACGAGGGGGGAATCAATATTTAACTGGCGACAGCTACGCGAAACTCACTGCTGGCAGCAGAGCTCCGGGGCGGCTTTGGGGCGGTGCGGAGCTGCCTACCTCTGCGCGGCCGTGCTGGCGTCCAGGACGCCCGCTCCCTGCATCCACGTCCGCACCGCGTTCATCCCCGCGCCGAGGGGCTCCTCCTTCATGCTGCTCCCGCTCCGCTGGATGCTTTCCTGGATCCCAAACATGAATCAGAAACAACAGCGCAAAATCTTCCTTCTTTACACAAAAAAAAAAAAAAAAAAGAAAGAAAGAAAAAAAGAAAAAGAAAAAAAGAAAAAAAAGTGATGAAATCGCTGTTAAATGTTCTTTTTTTTTTTGTTTGTGTGTGTTTTCTTTTTTCTCTCTCTCGCTGGAATCAAAGCAAGGCAGAGAAAGCAAACACAGGCACGGACATTAAAAAAATAAAAATAAAATAATAACAATTAAAAAAAAAAAAAATCCAGAGGCGATCGGAGCGCGGCTGGGCGCTGCGCGTGCAGTTTGTTTGGGTGCGCGGAGGGGCTGCGGGGCGCCGGGGGCTGCCGGCAGCGCTCGCAGAGCCGGAGGAGAACTCGGAGTCCCTTTTGTATGAAGACACCCCTCGGATGGCAGCAGGCAAGAGGAAAAAAAAAAAAAAAAAAAAAAATCTCGGATGGCAGTTTAAGAAACAATAGGACGAACGGGAGCTGCGGCGGGCTCCGCTACATCAAGTGTCATTTTCCAGTGACAAGAGAGGCAAGTTTCCCCCCCCTCTCTTTTCCTCTCTCTCTTTTCTTTCTTTTCTCCCTCTTTCTTTTCTTCTCTCCCAGCCGAAGCGCTCTCTCCTCCCTCTTTCAGCCGAGCAGGAAGCGAGTTGCCGGAGCCGGGCGCACGCCGGGAAGGGAGCGGGAAGGACGGACGGACGGACGGACCGAGGGAGACCCCGGGGCTCCCGGTGCCCGCGCCCCCTCCCTCTCCCGCAGCGCCGGGCGGACTCGCCGTCTCTCCCTATGGGAGCCACTTTGACTGTCCCCGCCGCCGAACACGAGCCCCGCAGCCCCGGCGGGCGGGGGGCGGGGCCTCGGAAGCCACGCCCCCTTCATTTGCATAGCGTCACCTCTTCCCCCTCCCTCCCTCTGCAGCCCCTCCGCCAATAGAGGCCCGCGCGACGCGGCCGCGGGGGCGGGGCCACGCCCCCTCATTAGCATACCCCGCCCAGGAGCTCCGGCCGGCCCGGGGGAAAGTTGCCCCGAGCCCCCCCGGGCTTCATTGATCCCAACGCGATCGCGCCTTTGTTCATCGAGGCGGCGGCCGCCCGCCGGGTCCCGCCGGGATCACCTCGGCCGCCCGTCGAAGGCCCGAAGCGGACAGATCGGCCCGGCGGCCAGCCGTGCCCGCTGCCCCGCAGCCACTTCCCCGCCGGACCCCGGACGGGCGGAGCGGCTCGGCCCGGGGCCGCCGCAAACCCCAAATCTCCACCGCATCTCCCCGCGTTCCGCCCCGTTCCGGACAGCGCTGCGGTGCTGCGCGAGAGAAGCGCGCCGTTTTCGACTAGGACGGGACAGCGGAGAAACTCCGCTGTTGGCTTCAACCCCCCGGGGGAAATATACCAACAATAATATTCGCAGTCCCTGCCCTCTTTGGGAAAGCGCTGGGGCAGCCGCTCCGTGCCCGTCCCGACCTCCCCCCGCAGCCCCTCCGCTGCCGGACCGCGGGCGGGGCCGCCCCCCGGGGGCTGTTACGGCACCGGGCAGAGCCTGCAGGTGATGCCGCCCCAACCGCAGCCCCTGCGGTGTTGGCACGTGGCGTAACCCACACGAGGGGCAGCTCCCCACCTTCTGCAGGGCGATGCCGAACCGGGAGTGGGCCGGGTTGACTCTGAATTAATTGTGGCTTTGCCTGCTGCCCTCGTGCCCTCTCCGAGCCCCTGCTGCTGCTGCCTAGGATCCAGGCTGCACCCACTCCCATCCGGAGCACGATCAAGGGCCTCAGAGTTGACCCAGAGAACAGAGAGTCCAGTTACAAATACCCTTGCACAGCTCCATAAGCATCCCCAGGCATTCTTAGAACTCCATAAGAGCCTCTTTCCACCACCTGTATACATCGCTACATGGGCAATGGCCACTAAACCTCAGTTACAACACCCAGCCCAGCAGCAGGCACACAGCCCCTGCCAGCACACTGCTGGCACCGACAGCCACACCTGAGCCTCTGCTGTAGGGAAGTCCATACATAACTCATCCCCATCTCCACAGCACTGTGTTCTCATGCATGAGCTGCTGCAGAAAGCAAGTTTCCGCCTTCCCTGCAGCTGATATTTGAATTTTCATATAATCCTACTGTGTCACATCTCAGGGACATGTGGAGGAACACAGCCATAGAGCCACGCATGAATATTTACGCCATAGGTATTGCATAGGAGCAGTTTGGCCCCTGCAGCGTTTCGGCTTATTGGTCTTCTCCAGGCTGCTGCTGCAGCGGTTGTATCGTATCCAGCCTAAATGCCTCCGTGGTGAGATACATTTTGCAATTAAAAGCTATTTGCACCTGCACTGATTGCTCCTTTCCCAGGGCAGGGAGCTGCCGAGGGAGGAATAATGCGCTTGAATCGATATTCTGAGCAGTTGGCACAAATCTGTTATGGGGAATGGGGGACCATCTCCGTGCCTTTTCCTGGATGCTGAAGGAGGAGCAGCACAGCATGGGCTGAGGGCACCTCTGCTGGGCAGGGACGGCACTGAGACAGCAACAGGGACAACTTCCCCCCACTTTCTTCCTTGGACACACACACATGCACTGGTGATGTGGCAGCAGCTCCAGCCAAGAGCCAGCAGAGTGGGGGCAATGCTGCACTGGGCTTAGGGCAGCCTCAGAGCCACTGACAGCGCTGCAAGCAACAAAGGGTTAAAGCCCAGCTCGACCTCCACAGGGGAACATGAAAGGAAAGCAGAGCTGGAATGAGGGAACGGTGAGAAATTCAGGGATGGGCAAAAAAATAAAGCAGGGAGGGCTGGCAGCTGGCATTGAGACTGCAGTGCCCCATTCACACTGCAGGAGCCAACCACTCCATGCTGGGGCTTTTAGGCAAAGAATTCCCATGCAGTCAGCTCTGACTTTCTGCAGGTTGGGTCTGGTCCATGGCCTGAGCACAGCTGCCCTGCTGCTGGATCCACAGAGCTGCCCTGTGCTGGGACACGGCCGTGGGTGAAGCTGTGCTCAGTGTATGACACACAGCAGAACGCACAGACCTACAGCTGCCATCTGCTGCCGCTGGGGATGGGCCTTGCTCCCCAAATGAGCAACACAGGGATTTTTATCCTCACAGCATAAACTCATGTGACACACCTTTGCTTCACCAACAAGGACAGCTTAAAAACAGGGCCGGAGGGGGGGAACACAGCCACAGCACCCACAGTTGTGGGAGATAAGAGGAGGGCATCCCAACAAGGGACCACAGAGGACGCACAAACGCCCTGAGAGGCTGCAGATCCCAATGCCTCCTGCCAGGGGAAAGCCTCTCCTTCCCAACAGCACTTCCAGGTGGGCCCAACGCCCTGCTCGCCCCTAACCTGGGTGTTTTCTATCCTGCCTCAACAGAACAGCCCTGCTTCCCCTGTGTAGGTCCCAACACAGGGAACGAGAGGTTGGAAATGGGAATTGCTGAGAGAAAAGCCCCGTTTCCTCCTCCACACCCCTCACCAGAGGACAAGGCACCCAAAGGACCCATATTGCTCTGCCCAGAGAAGGGAGATGGCCAGCGGGGCAGTGCTGATGGGAGAAAGGGAAAACAACTTCTGGCTTTGAGCTGGGACCGAGGGGCACAGAGCACTGGGGGCTGAGCGTTTACCTGTGTTTTATGCTGGTGGGGAGAAAAGAGCTTGGGAGCATTTCACACATCACATCCTCCCCAGTAAAGATGCTTTGCACACAATATTTTCTTACATCCACACTCCCGTGTTGATCCAAAGACTTCCCAGCCACAGACAAACCCGACGTCCTCTGGCAGGTGAGAGAGCTCGGCCACCGGAGGCATTTCATTCCTCCTACCCGACTCGTTCCTGCAGAGAATGAAAGAAAAGGGCTCATCCGTGGGACTGCGGAGCAGCGTGCAGGGGGAAGGTGGGACCAGACAGAAAGGTGACAAGAGCCTGCTTTTCCACAGCTGCTGTGAAGAAGCGTCAGCAGGAGACCGGGATGGGAGCACCGCGTGCAGAAACTTCCTCCTGCTGCACCCCTGCCCCTGGGAACGGCCCTTAGCTGGAACAGACGTATCCCCGCCGTGTCGGTAAACCCTTGCGGGGGCACACGGGGCGGACCCCCGGAGCTCAGCCCTCCGCTCCCTCGGCAGCTCACCGGGAAAGCACGGCCAGGAGAGCCGGACTCCCACGGCCACCCGCGGCCCCCGGCGCTGCGCGGGGCGGGGCGGGTGCGGTGCGGGGCCGCCGCGCCGCGTGGTTACAGCGCCACCTGGTGGCCACGCCGGGCACCGCCAGCCCCGGTCCCGCGGGGTGAGCGCGGCCCTACGGGCGGGGGAGCGCAGCTATAAGAGACACTTGTCAGGTTGGCCAGCATTCATTATTTCTGGGACTTGACTGCTCAGGGTTTGGCTGCTTTTGATGACCATTCTGAAACCTGTTTTCTCTAGAAAGAACTCCAGGAGGCTCCATGATTTCAGCAGAAGCGGAACGAAGCTCATCACTGGGGCTCAGATGTGGCTGGAGCTGGGTGCAGACCCACAGCCAATGGGATTTTGCCAGAACACAGCATAGCAGCACTTTGGTTAAAAAAGATTTTAATACACAAAGAAGAACTCACTTCTTTACATGCTCTTCTGAGCTTTGGACGGTTCAAGTTCAGGCTCTGCTTTGTTCAGAATGAGGGATCCCTCTGGCTTTATCTTTGTGCAGAGTGAATGCATCCCGCTGCACCTCCTGTGTTCCTTCTCAGGATCTCTTCTCCAATACATTCAGCCTGTGAGCAAAAGCAGTTACAGTTCTGGGACAGCGACAATCAGAGTGACCCCAGCATGGGGAGAGAGCATCATTTCCTCTGGGAACAACATGTTAGCCACAGCCCTTCTAACT